CTCACCCCATGGAGGTTTGTCAAGTCTGGGTGAGGGGCTGATGGCTGTTTGCAGGCTGGTCAAGCCCCCCCCTCCCAGTGGGGACCCTCACCCCATGGAGGTTTGTCAAGTCTGGGTGAGGGGCTGATGGCTGTTTGCAGGCTGGTCAAGCCCCCCCCTCCCAGTGGGGACCCTCACCCCATGGAGGTTTGTCAAGTCTGGGTGAGGGGCTGATGGCTGTTTGCAGGCTGGTCAAGCCCCCCCCTCCCAGTGGGGACCCTCACCCCATGGAGGTTTGTCAAGTCTGGGTGAGGGGCTGATGGCTGTTTGCAGACTGGCCACACCCCCTTCAGGGTGGGGTGGTCCTGCTGGGGTGCCTGCCAGCCTGGGTAAGGGGCTGAGGGCCGTTTTCAGGCTGGCCACACCTCCTTCAGGGTGGGGGTCCCCACTGGGGTGCCTGGCCAGCCTGGGTGAGGGGCTGATGGCTGTTTGCAGGCTGGTCAAGCCCCCCAGTGGGAACCCTCACCCCATGGGTGTGTGGCCAGCCTGGGTGAGGGGCTGAGGGCCGTTTTCAGGCTGCCCACAGCCCCTTCAGAGTGGGGGAGTCCCGCTGGGGTGCCTGGCCAGCCTGGGTGAGGAGCTTATGGCCGTTTTCAGGGTGTATTTATCTTCTATAATTGAAACTGCTGGGGGCAACCAAGCCTCCTGCTCGCTCCAGCTCCGTGGCCGCCGCCATCTTAGTTGGGTTAATTTGCATACTCGCTCCTGATTGGCTTGTGGGCGTGACTTGAGCATAGCAAAGGGTTGGTTAATTTGCATGTTTCTCTTTTATTATATAGGACCGTTTAGAAATAGTTTTATTTATTTTTTAAATACATGTTTATTGATTTCGGAGAGGAAGGGATAGAAACATCAATGATGAGAGAGAAACATTGATAGGCTACCTCCTGCAAACCCCCTACTGGAGATTGAGCCTGCCACCCAGGCATGTGCCCTTGACCGGAATCAAACCCAGGACCCTTCAGTCCACATGCCGACACTCTATCCACTGAGCCAAACCAGTTAGAGTGAGAAATGGGTAGTTTTAATTTGCATTATGAACAAAGGTGAGCATATTTGCATTTGATTGAGCCATTTGCATTTTTCATATAAAATATTGGTTCATCTCTGAGAAATATAGGTTTAATCTCTAAAGTTGTTATTCTCTATTTTTAGAAGCCCTTTATATACTATGGCTATTAACATTTTGTGATATAAGCTGAAAGTTTTTCTTTTGCAGTCTCTTATCATCCTTTTACTTTGCCATGAAAATGCTTTGCTTTTAAAGTAACCAAATATATCGATCGTTCCCCTTATTGCTTTTGGATTTGGAGTCATAGGAAACCTTTCTTTCTTCTAAAGTATAGTAAATTTTCTTCTAATACATGTATAGTTTCATTTTTACATTTAAATCTTTGATCTAAAGTGTCCCAAAAAGTGTATACACACTTTGAATTATTATAAAGTCAGTTTATTAATATACAGTTCATTTTCTAAATTTAAAAGACTCTATAGCAGTGGTTCTCAACCTGTGGGTAACAACCCCTTTGGGGGTTGAACGACCCTTTCACAGGGGTCGCCTAAGACCATCGGAAAACACATATATAATTACATATCGTTTTTGTGATTAATCACTATGCTTTAATTATGTTCAATTTGTAACAATGAAATTGGGGGTCATCACAACATGAGGAACTGTATTAAAGGGTTGCGGCATTAGGAAGGTTGAGAACCACTGCTCTATAGAAATGAATAATTGTTTTTGTCAATGCCTATTTTCAAACTGATGACCATTCTGGTCCAGGCACTGCCTAAATGTGAAGCAAAGGAATAGCAAACATCAAGAATCATTTTGCTCAGTATTTGTGCACCCTCAATTCATCAACTGTTGCTGGTTTTTGTACCATAAACTTTATCCTTTATGTATCTCAATAAAAAAGTCTGGTGAATAAACTTTGTTCAAAGCTTAGTCTGGCTTCATCCAGTATTTCAAATCAGTTAAACCTGAAAAGGAGTGAAAATTAAGTGAGTTATCAGCTGTCAAGTGTGTATACATTTTTTGGGGGGGCGGGGAACACAGGGTGTTTGAATAATTATAAAAGATAGTGTTTGTACTTCAACTGCATTTTCAAACTTCTAGTAGCATTTTAGGATGAATTTCTTTGTTCAAAGCTTAGTCTGGCTAAAAAGAAAGAAACATCAATTGAGCTATCAGCTGTTAAAGTGTGTGTACATGTTTTTGGGACATGTATTTAGAATTTATCCTAGTGTGATTCTATAAAGAATTTATCCAACATTGTCTTTTTTTCCTTTTGGCTATCTGGTGATCTCAACACCACATATTATTTGGATTTAAGATGCCAAAGAAAGACACTTTTTAATGACTAAAAATTCATTAAATCAGGAAGTATAATAAACCATTATATCAGATAATAAGAATTCTAAATTTGTATAAAACTAATAACATAGCCTCAAAATAGATAAAACAAAAATTGACAGAATAAAGAGAAACATTGAAAAATTGACAATCATCTTCGGAGACTTTCAGTCACTAATAGTACAAGAAAACAAAAACTGATGATACAATTTGAGTTACACAATAAGAAACCTCACCTAATGGATGTACACAGAACACTAGCATCAAGAATGACAGAATTCACATTCTTCTCAAATACACATTGAATATTTACAAAAAGATTGGATGTTGAGCCATGAAAGAAGACCCAAAAAATGTAAGAGAATGTTCTTTCACCACAGCTAGAAATTAAGCTAGAAATCATTAACAAATAATTAGATAATTATCGTATATTTGGAAATTAGGAAATACACTTCCAAATAATATTTGGGTAAAAGAAATTACATGGACTTTAGTAGATACTTTGGACACAATGGAGTACTATATATTAAAATTTGTGTAATGCAGCTAAAAATCATGCTTAGAGAGAAAATTATAGCCTAAACACATATATTTAAAAAACAGAAAAGGGTACAATAAGCTAAGCTTCCAAAAACTTAGGAATTCCCCAATTCAAGAAGTTATAAAAAGAACATCAAATTAAACCTAAAGAAACAAGAAGAAAATAAACATAAAAGCAGAAACCAATGAAACATAAAAGAAAGGATTAAGTAGGTCCATATTCATTCTCTGAAATGATTTATAACATTAGTAAGCCCTGGCAAAATAATAACACTGAGAGCAAAGAAGAACAGGCACAAATAACCAATAGCAGGAATGAAAAACAGAACGTTACTATACGGTATAACAGATATTGCAAAACGCTTAAGTGGGTAGTATGAACAATTTTTTTGCCAATAAGTTTGAAAATGTAGGCAAAAATGGACAAATTCATTAAAAAAATACAATTTACCAAAAGTGACAGAAGAAGTACTCAGAACAGTCCCATAAATATTAAAGAAATTGAGTCCATAATTAAAATTTTTCCTAAAAGAAAACTTAGACCAAATGGCCTACCTGGAGAATTCTACCTAACATTTAAGGAAGAAATAACGTCAAACTTCAACAAAGTCTTCCAGAGAACAGTAAAAGAAGAAACACTTTCCAATTTGTTTTATTAGGGCAGAATATTCATGATACTAAAATTGATAATACAAAAACAAAAGGAAGTTACATGGCAATCTCACGACCACAGGTGGAAAAATGTTAAACAAAACATTAACAAATTAAATCTTGCAATATATAACTCAACCACCAAGTTGTGTTTATTCTTGGAATACAGATGGTTTTAATATTTAAAAAGGTACAAATGCTTTCTACATTAACAGAATAAAAGAAAACAATCTTCTCAATCTATACAAAAAGAGCATTTGATAAAATTCAATACCCATTCATAGTAAGGGCTCTTGGGAAATAGGCATCCAAGGGAAGTAACATGATAAAGGGTATCTATGCCAAAGCATGATACATAATAGTGAGCAGGTGAAACTTTCCTTCTGAGATCAGGAATGAGCTGAGGTTAGTCACTATTGATGCTTCTACTGAGCATTGTTCTAGCTGTTGTCCTAACCAGTATAATAAGGCAAGAAGAAGAAGGCTCAAAGATTGAGAAGGAAAAATTAAATGCTCATTATTTATGGTGACATGATTGCATACATAGAAAATAAAAAAGAATCTAAAAAGTTATTTGTATAAATGACTTTAACATGATTGCTTGATACTAGGTCAATATACTAAAATCAACTGTACTTTTGTCAGCAAGTAACAAAATAGTAACACAAAGTTAACATTTATAATAACATAAAAAATTAACTTCCTAGGACTAAATCTAATAGAGATGCAAAATATCTCTACACAAAACTATAAAATATTATAGGAGAAATGAAAGACCTAAATATTAAAATAAGGAAGACCTAAATAATTATCCAGTGGCAGTATAGGCTAAAATCTATTACTGGCAAAAGGATAAATTAATGAAACAAAATAGAATCTAGAAAGAGATCCATCCATACACAGACCCTTGACTTATGACACAGTGGCGCTGCAGGGTAGCAAAGAAAGGCAGTCTTCAATGAACAGCGCTGGAGCAACTGAATAGCATAAGGGAAAAAAGTGAAACAACCCTCACCTTACAACTTTCACAAAAATCAATTCCAGGTGGATTATAGATCTAATGTGAAAATAAAACTTAGAAAAGATAACTTAATATTTTCCAAACCTGTGGGAAGTTTTCTTAAACAGGACACAAAAATCATTATGAAAAGATAAATTTTAACAATCATTTCAGTTCCTCCAATAATTATCTAAGACATCGAGTGGGAAAAGCTATTTGCAACACATGTAAACAACCAGGATTTGCATTAAGAATATATAAATGCATAAGATCAGTAAGTTATAGTTCAGTATTTTTAAAAAAGGATCATACTAAAAATGATGTATTTTACCAAATTCTATCTTTATACTTGTTTCCAATGTAATCTACAATTTTATTGGATTTTTATTTATAATAATTTTTGTGTCTTTATAGGAATCCAGTTGGAAGAATTCAGTTGGTCGTTGCCACTGTAATTGCTCTTTTCCCATTTACTGCATGGCTCTACATATATATTAACAAGGATATGCGTTCCTCCTGGCCAACTCACTGCAAGACAGTCATTTAAATGAAGAATCCTGTTCTCAAAATGAGAATATTCAATTTTTATAAACATGGATTTTATTTTTTTAATCCCAGGAATTTTTTAAGGCTGACTACAGGGTTGGATGGGACTAGTAAGAGACGGGGTCTGACATCCTATTGTGTCATCATAGTGTAGTACAAAAGGCAGTTGAAAAAAAGTTAAGAAATATGAATTCTAACTCAGCTGCCTCACTATCTATGTGACTTGGGAAATATAAAAAACCTCCTGGTGGTTATTTCTTTATCTATAAACCAGGATTAAAACTAGATCTACTTATAAAGTTGGAAGGATCAAACTAGATATTATGAGAGCACTCTGAAAATATAAAGTGCTTACAAAGGGCTACTATGCATGATTAAAATACAGGGAAGCGGGGCTTGGTTAGTATGACAGAAATAGAGGTTCAAGAGGGGACTGTCTCCCTGACCTAATCTCATTACATTTGTACAGTGCCATGAACTAAATGAGGACCCCAGATGAAACAAATAAGCAAGCATGTCTTGGAAAGAAAGGAAAATTAGATAAAGGAATTTGGAACCAAAAAGGAAACAATATCAATTACACTGTAAATAAAAATAAGACTGAAATCTATACACATTTGAAAAAAATGAATTTCAAAAGTAACCCTGGGGTGAGACCATGTTAGAGCTGTCCTCTCCAATACCGCAGCCACCAGCCACGTGTGCACTGAGCACTTGAAATGTGTCTAGACGGAGGACGTTTTCTTTTCCATTTTAATTTAAAAACGTATCAATTCAGCTATTAGAAAACTTACAATGTTTGGAACACTTGTTTTAAGCATGCTTGGAGTAAGTATGTGAACCTACTGCAAATTTTATATCTAAATATAGATCAAGTATTTCCAATGAAGTTAGTGTCCAAATGGATGGGTTGAAGTATAATATATATACTAGATTTTAAAGACATAGTATAATAAATATAAAATTTTTATATTGATTACATGTTGAAATATTTTAGATATATTGGGGTAAATAAAACGTATTGGAAGTTGATTTTATCTGTTTCTATTTACTGTTTTAACTCTTTTTTTTATTGCTTAAAATATTACAAAGAGTAGTACATTTGTCTTTTTATTTTTCCCCTTGACCTTCCCCCAGCCTCTATTTACTGTTTTAAATGTGCCTGCTAAAATACTTTATTCATGAGGCTCGCATTATATTTCTGCTGGTCAATGCTGTTTATATGGCAACTTTTTCACATGGGCTACTCAAGACACCATTTCATGAGATGTAGGAAATATTTCACTCAAAAAGTATTAGCACCAATCATAACTCAGGAGAGTGAAAATGAGCCTGGTAGTTTGTCTCTATTCTTATAACCTTAAATACAATTTAAGTATTCTATAAATGTTTGTTAAAGGAGGTATACACAATGGCCTCGGGATAGTCAGAAATTCTTGATCAAGATTTAGATAAGGTAAAAGTGGAAAAAATCTAGTTGACATTATAGCGATTAAAGTGAAATTTACTTTAAGGATTTCAGTGTTCCAATGTGCATTTAGTCTGTATAGCAGTTATGGCTTTTATACCTCTTTTTGTATAATTATTAAGGTCATACATGAGGAAATAGACTTACTTGCAAATTCTATATAGAACCTACCCATCCTCCAAGTTATGCTTGATTCTGTGCTTAAAAGATAATAATGTTCCACTTTGAAAAAAAAATAATGTCCAAGATACACGTTCATCCTATCTGCATCTCCCACATCACACTGAATATGTGAGTTTATAGCTCCTTTTAAATCTCCGTAAGTATATATAAGGAACTAACTTTTGGTAGAGTACTGCCTTTAGAAAAGAGCATTACTGAAATTACTTTTAAACTCTACTTTTCAATTGAAGCATTACTAGTAAGTTTAATATTTCTACTATCAAAACATGTCTTCTCACCCCCAATTTTCTTTCTTCCCACTGAGACTTTTGTACACCAGCCTCTCATCATCTACTGCCCGGACTGAAACACGAATCTAATCATATATGGCCCAGCTCAGGAACCTGGGGTTCTCACACTGTGTGGCAAGATAAGTTTGAACTCTGGGCTGGTCATTCAAGGCTTTTCTGCACACAGCCATAGCCTAACCTTTTCCTGCTTTATTACTCAGCACCTTTCGGCGAATCGTGGTATCATTACTTGCATCTCCTAAACTCAGCATATCCTTCAATGCCTCTGCTTATGCTATTCTGTTTACTTGAAATGCACTTCCACACCCATTTAAACCTTTCTTCAAGTCATCCCTAATCCTTTCAAGCAACATGAAATTCCTGCTCCATATTCCCAGTCCTTTCTTCACACACTTGTATGTAGGGGTCTGTTTCCTCACCATTATAGAGTTGGTTACTGCAGGGAGTACATCAGTCACCTCGGAGGTAGGCTGGATAATGCCCCTCAAAGATACCCAGGCCCTAATCTCCCGGACCTGGGAATGTTACCTTAGATAGCAAAATGGAGCATGGCCCTAACAACAGCTTGATCCCAGCCCAGTGAAAATAACTTCTGACTTTTGACTCCAGAACTGTTAAGAGAACAAATATGTTACTTAAACCACCAAGTTTGTGGTGATTTGTCACCACAGTCATAGAAAACAAATACACCTGTACTGCCTAGGTAAGGGGTTGGGCAGGCACACTCATGTTGATCAGCATTGGTTGATCCCTTACTGTTTTTAAGCCCTTAATCAAACCTTCTCTACACTCCAAACAGTCCCCATTTGCCATATAGTGTTTCTGCAAATAAGCCTTAGCATGTGTGACAACTGAATTGAACACGTCCCATTTATCTACGAAGGGAGTTAAGGGTGAATTCATTTAGCTGCTGTCTATCCTTATGCAGCTCTAGCTGGTGGCCCAAACAGACCCCAGAAACAGGCACACAGCTGCACTGGCCACATAACTTCTCTGAAGGCCCTTCTTATAGCCTCACACGAGAGGCACACATCACTTATGGGAATGGGAGCACCATTCATTCATTCACCTGTGGAGTAACATGACAGTTTTGGTCTACAAAATAGGAACACAAGCTTATAAAAATATAATATGATGGCTATTCTGAGCAAAAAAATGTCCAAAGTTCATTTGCACAGGATGGTTAAAAGGAAAAGCTTTACCTGAGCTGCTTTTTATTATGAATTTTAAGTTACATAGCTAGTAAATGAGCATATTCTCCTCGTAAAAAAAATTTTAAAAGTCTCAGGTAAGGCTAAAATAAAGTCTGTTTTGAGGACTATACCCCACCCCCACCCTGCCCGGTCTCCTCCCTGGTTCATTCATGGCACTTTTATTCATTTTCTTTCCAATTTTTAGCACTGGATATAGTTCCAAAATGACTTCAGAATGTCTTATGAGCAAAACACTGAAGCCATATAATACATTTTGTTACACCAACAGAACACTAAACAACGAGGCTGAGGAGTTAGGGGTGGGGTAGCAGAGCACAAACATGAAGCTAAGTCTCCTCTTTCTATATGGATAAAATAAATCAGACTAAAAGTGGAAAAGGTTTTTCCTTCCTGTAATTCATAATTCTGTCTGTAACTCGGCCACTCCCTTTCAACATCATTTTGTCGGGATAGACATAAATCGTGCCAAAAGCCTGGCTGTCCGGAGCTGTTTCAATGACTCCTTCCACGTTGATGTGGTGCACACCAAAAGGATCCTCAGAGTAGCCACCATCATGGGTGTGACCGGCGAAGAAACACACCACACACTCATGAGACCAAATGACTGCGAGGGCGTCTCTGTAATTCCAGGCCAGGCACACAGAGTCAGAGGCCTCTGGGTAAATGGGAAGATGACCTGTTAGTTAAAGAGAAGAGTTGTGAGCCAATTAGGATACACCAGTTTCACCAAAATAAATGGCTAAAAACGAGTACTCAGGAAAACAATGTGCATTGCTCCTTCATTATGGGCTGAGACCAGCGAGAATTCACATACATGAAGAATGAGGTAATCTATAGCCAGGAGTCTGGAGCATAAAGGAGGGTGAGATAGTTCACATGCAAGGGCAGAGGCCACAGCAGAGACAGAAGCCCTGCGAGTCCCAGGATGTACACACGTCAAGGGAGACTGCGGCAACCCGCACAGGGCAGTCTGCAAAGGCAGTAGAATCAGGCCAGTGCTGTGCTGGAGTCCAGCCTCTGACTTCCGAAAGTATAGACATGTTACATACACACACAGAGGTACTCTTAGATAAAAGATAGCTTAGGGATGGACCAGTGAATAATATGTCATTTTTCTAAACACTCAATGTTTTATAAAGAACTGATTTATGCCCCTTTAAACACTTCCAGGAGAACAAGGTAGCCATAGCCATTTTAGAGATGAGAAAACTAGGCGAAAGTGGGAATATTCATACTAGGTCCCACAGGAGATATGTGGAAGTAGATGCCAAGACGTAAATGAGGCCACATCCTACATCAGGCCACATTTCACTCTGAAGGACAGATACAATAAATAGCTCATTGGTCTTTGCTTCTTCCCACTAATTCTGTTACTATTTTTATTCTGAATATTTTTATTCTGCTTAATATCTACTACTTTTGTATAAAAAGGGGGGCTAATAGTGCACACCTGTCCACACACATACACTCAGCCCCTCGTTAAGATGTGACAAGGGCTAAGGGTCCAAAGAGGCCATGTGACTTTCCGGATCTAGATGCCACACTGGACGCACCTATCAAATCCCTGTAGCGCTGGACACAATTAGTTGCTGGAAACTAGTGTTTTCTGGAAACACCTGGCTCCCAGGACAGTACCAATCCTCCCAGTTTCCCTCCAACCTCAAGGCTACTGATTCTCACTCTCCTTTGCCAGCTCCTCATTTCCCCAGTATCTTATTAGGAGTGCCTGAATGCTTGGTTTGTGGGCTTCACTTCTGTCTACACCTAAAGACTTGGTGATCTCTTAGCAATGTCCATAGTTTTAAATATCATCCGTATTCTTTCAACTTCCACATTTATACAGCTAGCTCAAACCTCTATTCTGAATTTCAGATTCATTATTACTCAACATCTCTGCTCATGTGTAACAGGCACCTGAAAGTTAATCTTTTCAACCTTGAACTCCTGAGCTCTCCACCCAAAGCCCCCATCCTGCTGCAGTGTTCCATATTCCAGCTAACAGCAATTCTGTCTTCCAACTTCATGGCCAAAACTCTAGAATTAGGCAAAATGACATGTGAGTAGCCAAAAGGGAAGTGTAAAAGCAAACAAAAAGAAAATTTTGATTAGTCATTTTAAACTTTGATAAAGAAAACCCAAGGCACTGAGTTAAAGGTTTGTTCATCCAGTTTCTAAGCTTACAGGAAAACAGGAGAAATTTTAGAGACTGATAATATAGATAAGTGCACTGACATAAATACAATGAGAAGATAGGATAGTGTAGGAAAGGGGCTGGGATACAAAACATGGACTCTCTAGCCTCAATTCTGTCAGGAGCTGAGGGATTTTAGCTATGTTGTTTAATCTCTTTTGGTTCAGTTTCTTTATCTTTAAAATTAAAAGGTCTGACTATATGTTCTCTAGGTCCCTTTTAGCGCCAGTATTCTCTAAAGCAGGGGTGGGGAACGTCCAGCCCACAAAATCACTTGGTCTGGCCCTGTCAAGGCATTAGGGGTGAGTTAATTAAATGTCTGACCAAATATAGCAGGCTAATTTTTAAGTTGATAATTTTGTATGGCCCGGGAATGATGTTATAAATATCTAAATGGCCCTTGGCAGAACAAAGGTTCCCCATGCCTCTAAAGTCACAAGTACAACCTAACAGCGAAGAAGAGACAAGTCAAGAAGTCTCAGTTTTTGAGACCACTCATTGTAAAGCCAAAATAGTGTCACATCATGCCAATAACCCCTGAGGGTCCCTTACATTTTCCAAGCCTTGAATGATATTTGATGGTAGCAGAAACACCCTTAACTCCATCTACATGTTTTTACTACATCAATGAAAGATAATAAGTAAAAACTATATTGATAGAAACCTCATTTTATATCAATTACCTGAGCAGCCTATCATTTTCTTCACAATTTCATTTGATGCAATATTGAGAAAACTGCAGTTTGTAGGTTCGACATATGCCCAATCAAAGTTCACAGATGTAAGAGCCAGAATGGCATTCTATCCTTGTGACCCTTAGTCCATGTTCTTACCCATTATGCCACATCAATTTGATCCCTAAAACAAGGGATATAATCTCAGCCCCCCAACCAAGTATACCAGCCACAATGCAAATCCCAAGTCAGTTCTTTGTATATACATACATGTGCACACAGCCAATGCATGTACTGTAAGCACCTTCAGATTCCTAAATCTCTGATGGCAGCATGTCTGTCAAAAACGATTCTAAATAAAAACAATAATCACGTAAGTGCTCACTGCCAGTTGTATCTCTAACACTTGTCCCTGTTACTTCGGCTTTGCTTTCATCCAGGCAGCAGGGCCAGAGGTGTGGTAGGGGACCTCGACTGAATTTTTCATTTAAATATTACTATGTAAATTGATCCCATTTGGAGAAATTCTACTATGAAACCTAAAAGGCCAATTCACAGGCTCTAGTATTTGGCAAGATGTTTTTGTTACTTTACAATTCAATTCTTCCCTGACTCAACCTTAAATGTTAATCTCATACTTAGATTGTTTTTCAATTTAAACTAAGCATTCATTTTACTGAAAGAGGATATCACAACATGTTATTAGTATGCTTTAAAATTTAATTTCCCATTCTCTAAAATGCTAGTATACACAAATCATTTAAATACTTACTCACGATCACCACCTTTTCTTGGTTTGTGTCAGAGAATGTAAGGACTTCATTCAACCAGTTCAGTTGTTCTTGGCTGAATCCTCCATTAAACTGGACAAACTGAGGCTCAGAAAGTCCTAAAATAAATTCTGTAAGTTAGATCCACCAAATACAATTTTCTCATCATTAGGGCATTTTAACTTAGCTAATATGGGTAACTTATACTTCTCTTTAGGAACATTTGGCAGCAATCGACTTAAAACAGGAAACCACAAGAATTTAGAATATACAAATAAATCACACTGTACCAGTATCTTGCTCCTAGTCTTGACACTCCTCTGCTTATTTCACTAGCTTCCTGTTACACTGAAAATAAATTAGACTCTTAACTGTCCACAGGGTTCCTGCAAAATCATCCTGCACACTGGCCCTTCCCTGCGTTCAAGAATGCCAGTCTTCACTATGCTTAGTGCCTCTGCATTTGTTTATCCCTCTGTCACAAATACTCTATCCAAGGTTGACTCCCTCCTGTCATTTAGATTTCAGCTTAAATGTTTTCTCCTTGGAAAGGCTATCTCTGACCACCTAAACTAAAACAGTCCTCTCTCAATCATACTTCATTTTCTTGGTAGCATATATCATTGTGGAAATAATCTTGTTACGATTTCATTTATTATTTGTCCTACTTTTCTTGTTCCTTCCACTGTACCCATTAAAAAAGTGATATTGTCAATACTGCTTACAGTCCTAAATAGCTAAGCTCTAGAAAAAGTGCTCAGCCCAGAACAATCATTCAGATATTTAAATAAATCTTCAACCAACACAGCAACCAATCCATGTGCCATGAGGCTTGTGAGAAATCCTGACCCTGAACAACAGTGACAATATACTTTTACCTTAGTCATCCATCTTCCTGCCGAATAAAAGGTAGCTGAAGAATTTAAAGACAATGTATTAGACTCTCAGCTCAAAGGAATAATTCACCTTGAGGACTATTCAATTCCATATTTGGATTGTGCTCCTTCAGCATCTTCAGACACTGCTGGTATTTTGGAGAGGACTGGTCCACGCCCAAGACACTCAAGTCATAAGAATCGAGTAAAATGAACCGGAATTTAGGGAATGGAACAAAATGGTAAGCGTAAAAACTCCCCGTAGGCACAGTTTCAGGATGGTGTTCAATCTGGTCTTCTAGAAACTTTGTGTTCAGTTTAGAGTTTGTTAAATAGTCTCTGCTGAAGTTATAGAATTCATGATTTCCCCACGTGTGATGAACTGGGACTTTAAGCCTTTGGAACACGTTCATAACAAGTTCTAGTGACTTTTCTGATGCTTTATACTGCGCATTGTAGCCATCAATGATATCTCCAAGCTGAAGGACACAGCAGGGTGGACTGCTTTCTCTATTCCAGTGTTCAATAGCACCCTGCAAGTGAAGAAGACTGTGTCTGTAGTATCTTCTTCTGGTTCTTTGGTAATTATAGCCATCTTCTAAGTTAGCATATTGAATATCTGCTATAACTCCAAAGGAGAAGAGATGTTCTGAACTCTCACTTACGGCTCCAGGACTGGGCTTGTCATCCATAACCTCTGAACAGATTTCTAAATAAAGTATAAAAGATAACTCAGTTATAAACATCTTAATCTCCTAAATGGTAAAGTGGATATTAAACTTAATAGTTGACTCACTAGGTAGCTTGGTATAGACTCTATAGAGGAAAGTGCCTGGGCTTTAGAGTCTTAGGTCCAAATTACCAAGACCTTGAAATGCTTCAGTTTTCTTATCTGTAAAATAGAGAATAACCTGTATTCTTTAGAAGGGTATTAATTTACACGAGTATTATTCTATTAATGAATAGGCATTCTAATTCTAGCCAAGTCAAAATCAAATCTGGAATAATCTGTAATTTTTATGAAATATACACTAATTTTAAACAGGCACCTTCTTCTAATAATTCTATAAAAATTTCAGGATTTTTTGAAAGTCATACATTATACTCATTCATTGTACTTTATATATTAAATTCCTGCTGTGGGTTATTTTGTGTCTTTCTTGGTGGGTAAGTTTCTCATTTTTTATCTGGGATAAAAGGGTAAAGATATGAGAATAATAATTTAAACAAAAAAATCTGGCACAAAAACTATGTATGACATTGATGTGACTATTTTCACTTAAAAATTTTTTTAAAAAATATATTTTTATTGATTTCAGAGAGGAAGGGTGACAGAAAGATAGAAACAGCAATGATAAGAGAGTCATTGATTGGCTGTCTCCTGCACGCTCCACACTAGGGATCGAGCCAGCAACCCGGGCATGTGCCCTGACCGGGAATCAAACCATGATCTCCTGGTTCATAGGTTGACGCTCAACCACTGAGCCATGCCAGCGGGACTATTTTCACTTATGAGAGTAGGGGGTCTTGGTTCTTCAATAGTTGGATATTAATTTCAAACCGCTTTTTAAAAGCTGAATATGAACTCCCCTTCCTTACAACAAAACGGATATGTGAAATTCTAATTGTCAGTGTTCCTATCAGAGGTGGAGGTGACAACCCCACAACTGGCAGTAAAGGCCAGACTTCAATTTGACTAATTTGAGAATTAGGGGCTTCTTTTCATTCTACAACTATCTGACCTACCCAATTATGAGCTTCAGCTACTTTCCTTTCTTCCCTAATCTGGTTGGGTATAATTATTCCAAAAACAGGTAAAACAGCACCAGAAAAAGAGATGGAGACCCTAAAACATGGCCTGTGTTCTTACACTGGGTTTTTTCATTTGCTCATTTTTCCTGCAGTCCCCATTTGAAAACCCCACCAGATAGCAAGTCAGTCTATAAGTGTGAGGGTGGGTAGATGAGATAATCTGATTTGGAAGGCAAAGAACTCAGATACAATTATAATAAATACAAAACTCACCTAAGTTAGTTGAAAAGCTCTAGTTCTAATAGATTTCAAATATTTACGATTCCAAGTACAGATTAATAGAAGAATAAAATCAAAAGATAATTTAGCAAAAGTATCAGTGGAACATTATTACCAAAGCTTAAGAGAAAACTGTTTCTGGGAGTGCTTTTGTCCCTTGTCAAATGCGCTTATTTTTAACTTTAAACTTAGAGCTTTTAAGGCAATAATAAGTACTTGTGTAACTCTTAGAGGACATTTAATTTCATCTTCTCTCCAGTAGATAGCTGTTATTTCTGCCTGCCTAGCATCCATTTCCTGTTCTTGTAACAGCACCGCAATATCTCTTTAGGTATCTACCTAATTCCTCAATCTTACTTCATGTGGTTTGAGAGGCACAGACACATGACCCAGGGTTGGCCTATAAAAGCCATTCCCCACTTGTCAGGGGTAGGCATATAACCTAAGCTGGGCCAAGGGTCAGCCCTGGAACTTTTGTTGGAACTACGAGCAAAATTATTAGAACTACTTCTACTAAGCTGATAACTAAGACTGGAACTGCTGGGGGAAAATTAACTAAGAAATCTGACTGACAGAAAGAAGTAGGTAGAGTCCTGGCTTCCTTACCCTAAGGGCTACTCCAGATCAATAAAAGATTGGAGCAGCCTGAGCATGGGAGGAAGTCCTTCCGGACTTGCCCGCCTGGTGCCCCAATTTGCAAAAATTATCTCGTGTCTTTTTCTCTCATTTGTTGTGCGGCTCCACTTTCAGATACCGAACCCTACTCCACGCAGAACGTGGAGGGAGTGTTACTCGACAGGTCAGCCCTGGGACTTTAGTTGGAACTACGAGCAAAATTATTAGAACTACTTCTAGTAAGCTGATAACTAAGACTGGAACTGCTGGGGGAAAATTAACTAAGAAATCTGACTGACAGAAAGAAGTAGGTAGAGTCCTGGGACTATTAGTTGAATACCTGGATCCACCTGTTCCTGCCAGAACTAATATTGGCCATTTAGTTATATCAGCCAAGAAATTCTCCTTTGAGCTTAAAGTCAAAGTGAATTGGCTTTACTTTTCTATCATGTGATCCAATCAGACACATCTTCCTGGGACACAGTTCAGGTTAGGGATAAAGTAAGATTCGCCAACTTTTTAAAGTGAAGCAACATGGAAAGAACCAGCAAGGACCATACACTTCCAAAGAGCAATGTGTTCTGGAGTAGAAAAGAGATCAAAATACTGAATGCATATAGCTTTTAAAAATAAGGTCATGGCCCTAGGTGGTTTGGCTCAGTGGATAGAGCGTTGGCCTGCGGATTGAAGGGTTCTGGGTTCAATGCCAGTCAAGGGCACATGCCTGGGTTTCAGGCTTGATCCCCAGTAGGGGGCGTGCAGGAGGCAGCCCACCAATGATTCGCTCTCATCATTGATGTTTCTCTCTCTCTCCCCCTCCCTTCCTCTCTGAAATCAATAAAAATATTTTTTTAAAAAATAAGGTTATGATATCAGTACAAAATTGAAAGACTCAGAAAGGTGAAGAATAAGAGGTTAGGCAAAGATAATCCCAGAAAAATCAAATATAAGAAAACAGAGGTTACTCCTTTGATGTTGCATTAGGTAGAACTCAGGCCAGAAATGATTAAAGAGGGAGACACAAATAAGGCTACAAGCTGCAAGCTCCATGAAGATGTACTATTGGATACATGGATATTATGACAACTTTGATTTTTAAAAAACGTTTTAGGAGAGTCAATAAGACTTGGAAACATTAATAAGACTTAAAATCTCTCTTAGTTGAAGATAGATCAAGTAGACAAAAATTTTATAAGGCTATTGAAGACCTAAATAATACAACCAAAAGGTGGATCTCATTGTCGTGTACTACATATGAAAGAACACACCTTCTTTCATGCACATGTAACACTGAAGAAAAATGATCATTTGTTGACATATAAAGAACACTCCCTCAAATTAAAAAATAATAATAAAAATAAGAATAAGGTTATGGCCCTGGCAGAATGGCTCAGCTGGTTGGGCACCAAAAAGGTTGTAGGCTCGATCCCAGATCAGGGCACATACTGCATAGATGTTTCTCCCTCTCTCTCTAAAACCAAGAAATATGCCCTGGCCGGTTTTGGCCAGTGGTTGGAGCACTGGCCTGTGGACCAAAGGGTCGAGGGTTCGATTCCCAGTCAAGCGCAAGTACCTTGGTGCAGGTTCCCCAGTCCTGGTGGGGGCAGGTGCGGGAGGCAACAATTGATGTATCTCTCACAAAAATGTCTGTCTGGCTCTATCTTTGTCTCTCTCTTCCCCTCCTACCTCCCACTTTCTCTAGAAATTAATGGAAAAAATATCCCAGGGTGAGGATTAAAAATAATAATAATAAATAATATCAATAAATATATCCTCAGGCAAGAATAAAAAATAACAAGGTTATGGATAGGATACATGCAATTTTATTACATAAAGAAATTATTTAAAAAGAGAGAAACTTAAATTCCCATACTGTGATCTCTTAAGGGAAAGATACGAGGCAAGAGGAAAGGACACAAGCACTTTCAAGGACTGACAATTAGGATTACAAGTGAGTAAGGCAGGGAAAAAAAGAACCCATGGGCAGGAAACCGACTCTCCTGATTAGTTCAAAGTCTTAGATCATGACTCAGGGAGCTTAGAAAGAGCAGTCCCTGTAGACAGAGGACAAAACTCAGACACCTCCAGGGGCGAGATTTAGAATTAATAAGATTCATCAATTAATTAATTCCAGGGACTTTTTCAAAATATCCCCCTGCTTCATCAAACACAAAAAACATGGGTGAGGAGAGGATAATTGTAGAAGCTAGCAATGGGTACATGAGGTTTATTCTCTCTACTTTATGTGTTTTTAAATGTCTACAATACAAAGTTTTAAATAGTATTCAAAAGTTTAGAGCGGCGGCTCTCAACCTGTGGGTCGCGACCCCTTTGGGGGTCGAACGACCCTTTCACAGGGGTCGCCTAAGACCATCAGAAAACACATATTGAATATATAATTACATATTGTTTTTGTGATTAATCACTATGCTTTAATTATATTCAATTTGTAACAATGAGAATACATCCTGCATATCAGATATTTACATTATGATTCATAACAGTAGCAAAATTACAGTTATGAAGTAGTAACAAAAATAATTTTATGGTTGGGGGTCACCACAACATGAGGAACTGTATTAAAGGGCCGCGGCATTAGGAAGGTTGAGAACCACTGGTTTAGAGAAAATAAAGTCTGGAAGAATTAGAATAACCAAGGAAATAATTTGCTTTGGAAAGAAAGGAAAATACCAAGTTTTTGTTCTGCAAGTTTTGCCTGCACCATATGTTAAGTTCTCTAAGTTTTTTGTCCTTGTTCTTTATTGATTTCAGAAAGGAGAGGAGAGGAAGAAACAGAAACATTAATGATGAGAGACAAGCACTGATTGGCTGCCTCCCACAGGCTCCCCACTGGGACATTTAGGAAAAAACTTCCCAGCAAAATAACCCTCATCAGTTGATGTGAGATTCAACCGAGTTATAATACACAGTTTACTTTGTAAATCATAAAGCACTAAATGTTAAGAATATTATTTTTTAATTACATATCTGAAAGGATGCCTACCTGGTCAACCTCAAAATACCTGAAACTTTTTATAGAACAGAATAATGTAGAAAACTTTGCAAGTTTTTCTCAAGAAGTCACGGTGCAGGATAAGCAGCCAGTATGTTGTGAAAATCACAGCAGGCATCAATGATTTTTAGGAATAGGAAGAAATACCTAGAGATGCTTAATTGCTGAAAACTTGCTCCAAGAGGATACTAATAAAACTTCTGTAATAATCAGGT